GGCATTATAATGTGACGGTCAATCCCACTATTCGTTGGTAAAAGAGTAGCCCAAAAGTTGGCGGTGGGTGGTGATGACTAGCTGCTTTCCCTCTAGTTTTACACTGCTAAATTAGGGACGGCTAGCGCAGATAGCCCTTGTGTAGCTTTGCGCGAAATTCAAAAAAACAAACAATTCACTTTCCCTGTCATGTGAGTTACCACAGTTGTATCCTGAACTTCCAGTAATTGTCTGCCTTTTGTCAAAGTCCACACAGGCAGGTTCATTAGTTTAGAACACCCTTTGACAAGACAAATTATTCTCCTTACCTTTTTTCAAACTTTTAATCTCACTCTAACATATCAACCATCAGGCCATTCACTCCCATGAGAGTTTTTTAACTTTTCTCTGACTTAACTTCTCTTTCACGTGACTTTATGTTTACTCTGTTTCCACTCGTATGGTCACAGCTATTTATATGTCTATCACTCTGGCCTTATAGCAATCTCCATAGCCTTGACATCAATTGATTGCAAACACAATGTTCGATAGCTTCGACATCAATGAATTAGAAACACAAAGTAAATAAATTAATACTACTACCTACACTAAACAGTCTTTTATATCTGACAAGCACATATTTAGGAGTAATATAAACTCAATGATAGGCCTGGCAGTTATGGTGCATGACTCGCAACCTGAGAGCCAGGCATTCAAATCCCCTTCACCAAACCTACTTTTTCTATGTGGTTGCCAACTGGACCAGTCACCTGGGTGTAAAAATTCTTAGCTTACAAAAACTCCAGCAGACCCAAAACCAGATTTTTGCAAAAGAAACAATATATAAAGACCATATTAAAGTGCTGGGAGTTTATAAAAAAGAATTACACCATTTTCTTGAAATACAAACTGAAAATATATTAGAACAAAACATTCAGACATACACACACACACCTATAAACAATATAACAACTGACTGAAGTGGATAATGGAAATACTATGAAGGATGAAATAACCATGAAATATTAAAAGTACACAACACTGGTTTTATTCAAAAACATCAAGCAGGTTATTATAATCAACATCAGAAAAGAAAAAAAAAACAATACTCCTTAGCTTAATGGAGAAGGAATGTTATATTTACATGATTAAAGAAAAAGTGCATTCACAGGACGAAAGAGATTATTAAAATCAGAGGCTGAAGAAGTGGAAGACAACCATTTAGGGAGAAGAGTATTACATCTAAATGGTGAAGAAGGTATATGTTACCGTATGGAATAAACAAGAATGAGGATGTGCTCAGAAGATTTATCATTCTTGTTTTGTTGATAAAGTACTGAATAAAGATATGTTTGACTAGCAAAAGGAGGAGAACTGGTATGCCTAAAGAGTGAAGGAAATGGAGTAGGTTCAAAGGCTGATAGTTACAGAGGATAACGCTTATTCAAAATGTTTAAATATAGAAAAATATGAATTGTGTTGAAGAAAAGGAGAGAAATCATGTTCAAGAGATGAATAAAATGCAAGAATATGTTTAATAATGATGAACTAGAATTCATGTGTAAAAGATGGAAAAGTATTTTACTCAAAGAATGAAAGATAAATTATCTTGATAAAAAAATACTATTACATTCAACAGGAAATAAAATGATGTGAAATATATTGAATAATGGCATAAAATTTTTGTTTTCTAAATGAAGAAATATCACATTACAAGAAAATAGATTAATAAATAAAACACTAACAATATACAAGAACAAGAAAAATGAAGGACATTTGATGTAAAACAAAAATTAAATTTTAGCATTAACTGAGTTATTAAAATATGTCTCACTTTCTACAGTTTGAAAAATTCAACATGTCACTTGAGTGTACTTGATCTGTAGTTTACATTTAACTACCCTGAAAAATTTGATTTTACAAAATATGAAGAACAAGGTTACAAATTAGCCAAAAAAAAATGAAACTCTGCTTTATAACATTCAATTAAACTTACAGGTAAAGTGCTGACTTACTTGCAAGAAATACCTTTCCACTCAAAGGTTAGTTTCTAAAGTTTATAATCAGTGTAAAATAATGTGAGAACAATTTTTTTTATAAAACTTATTCAATAGTGAATCAGAAATATCTGTAATCATTATATTGTTCTTTCATATTGTACTTGGGTAAAATAACTAGCACAAAAAGAATGGATAGAAATATCATCAAGAAGGCTCTTTCCCTAAGATTGCTCTCATTGAAAAAGAAAAATCCACAGCAATCTACAGAGCTGGGCAATTTAATTGATTAATTTATTAACTATAAGCAATGACCGTATTGATCAGTGTCACATAGGTTAATCAAAGTTTTGATTAAATTGACTGTCCTGAAAATAATCAACTAATTGGAATTAGTGTTTCTGATTATCACTGTTTTTTCATTATTCCAATAATCAATTAAACAAAATAACCATTAAACTGATTGTCATGATAATAATCAACTAATCAAGATTAGGATTTCCAATTATAATCATTTTCAATTTTTCCAACTATTGAAGAAATCAAGTACGGGTGTCATAATGTCTGCCAATTAGAGATATCAACTATAGATATTGTCAGTCCAGAATTTAAGATAAGAACCTCTCACCTACTTTATATTCTGAGATATCAATAAATTTATTACACCCACTTCAGAAGCTCCTCCCAACTCTCCATGCTTTAGAAATTATGTACTTACTCACACTTACTTGTCATTGGTACATGTTTATAATGAACAAAAAAGCTATTTTATGACAACATGACTATGACATCTTTATGTTAATTTATTTCAGTAAAAAGCACCATTACTCAGGCAGAATTTATTCAGTGAAGTTGAGTGAGTTGGTGCTCTGATAAATAATAGTAGTTTTGGATTATTGTTTAAATTATTATTGTTTTAAAATAAATATTGGAAAGCTACATTAATTCTTTTTTTTTTTTGGACAGCCCTCTTAAATGAGAAAAATTAAGGGTTAATAAAGAATGGCTTCCGAGAGCGATAGGCCTCAATCCTGAAGTGCTAAATTTATTATTTAATATTTTTTTTATTTATTGACAAAAGTAACTAAATTAAAAAATTATTAGGTTATATAAAAACTTTACTGAAAAGCAAAACATTTTCACCTCAAACATACGAGAAACATACGTAGTTAGATGTGTGATGTAATCTGAAATTTTCACCTTTAACACCGTATTTTTGATGGGTGATTTAATGCTTTTTGTGTTAGTTAGACATGGTTCAAAGTGCAATAAAACAATTGAATTAAATTGAAACAGATGTAGGCCCTTAGATACCCGAGAATGTTTAGGATAAACAATTGTAATTTTCTGTTATGATCTGCAGTCACTCTAGAAAGAAAAATATGCAATTTAAATTTATTTCATATTTTTTTGTAGTGGTTACAAGGTTAGTCAAATGGATTTAGATCTTAGTGTTAAGGTAGAGGAAATAACAAATAAAATACAAAGTTTTACTGAAAAAACTTTTGATATTCATTAGGAGGTTCTAGAGGTTATGTAAATGAAATGCAAAAAGTGTAAGAATCAAAAGTATTTTTATCCTTAACATGAAAATTACCTTGCACTTAGGCTTGTCAGAGTCTGAATCAGATTGACTAAAGTAAACTTATCAACAAATCTTTAGTAGAAGTACATTATTAAAAATTCTGATTTTTTGTGTACAACGTACTTGTAACGTTTCATAAAGCTTACCACATTTTGTGAAGATACACTATGTAAATTTGGAATTATAGTAAACATTAATTCTCCGATACAAACTTGTTCCAATAGACCAACCTTGTGCAGATATGATTAAGGCTATCTGCCACTGTCACTAATGTTTAACTGCTGGACTATAGGGAAGGCAACTGGTTAGCAGTATCCACTGCCAACCTTTTCTTTTTATTGTTGTTGATACCATTGGTAAACTGCTGATTAGAAGAAAGGCTAACTCTTCTTGCATGTACTAACTGATTAATCAACTACAATCAATTAATTGGGCTGTTGATTAATCAATTAGTATATACCATTAGTCACCCAGCTCTAGTAATCTATCAGATGAGATAATCCACCTCTTTTAAGGCAATCTAAAACCTTACACATTACTAGCTGTGAGGTTTCTTTATTCATCCATCCATAACCCTCACCAGTTGTTCTCTCATCTATGCTCTATCTACATCGTAATTACAAACTCTATGGTCCCCATCTATTCACAATTACCACTTATAGATCACCTACATTATTTGAAACTATTAATTCATAATCAGCTATACCATTAATATATACGAAGTTTTCTCACATTTATACTATTTTCCATTTTACTCTTAAAGAAATTATTAAATACTTACATTATTCCACTTGGTATTTTTATTCAAGTATTAGAAAGAAATCAAAAATACTGCAGCCAAATTCTATATCTGTTTTTAAATATAAAAATAGGAATTTTAACCCTTCTGTATAAGATGCATTAAAATTGTTATACAGTACATTGTCAGGTATAGATTATTTTAAGTTTTTCACTTTCAGTGTAAAAACACCTACCAAGGAGTTCATCATCACCTTCATTCTCTTCCTCAGTTCCTCTATGGTAATGCTTCCCTGAGAAACCCAGATTAAAATGAAAACCAGGAACTATGCTGCTTATACGCTCCTGAGCCTGTAGTAATGCCTGGTGATTGTAAGCAGAGAAATAAATTACATCTATATGATAAAATATTTATAATTTTTATCACCCTTTTAACAATAAAATATTACTTGGCTATCTTTTTAAAAATCTTACGTTCGTATAGAATATTTCTAATCCTTTGTTTAATAAAGTAAATCTAATGAAAAAAATGTCAAACAAACACACTGCATAAAACAACAACTGCATGAAATATTCCTTGATCTTACTCCTGAAAACTTGTTTCTTTTTGCTAATCAGACTTAGATGTGCCTTTAAGGAGTAATACACTTAAGTTTCCCATTCTTGTTGTTTTTCCCTTAGGTGCACTTATGCATACGAGGTAATGCTCTATTAGCTTTCTTTCAGCTTAAATTTGAAAACTCAAAGACTAAACCCTTAACAGATGATACTAAAAATATTAGGGAATACTGTAATAGAGAGAAGATTAAACAGTTCAAATAAGGCTCTTTGTACCTGGCTGGGTCCTTAATAAATTTATTTGGTTGTATCAGATGCAGAAACAAAAGATTACAGTGAAAGTTAAGCCTGACACAACCAGGGTTAAATAACTAGAGAGAAAGAATAAAAGTTTCCCACTATATTGAAACTATAAAATACTTAAAAACCATGATGTTTTTGTTTTGTTTTTAATCACATGAGAACATGTATGCCATTGTTATTTTCAGACTCTTATTCTATAATACAAATATTTTTTATTAACTATTTACCTCTAAGTGTTCCTAATTTAACCCTTTTAAGATAGGTCAGGGGTGAAAGGCCATGTCATCTCGTTTGTTGACTTGTATTCAAAATTTTATTGAACTACTAATTCATGAATTTATGTCAATAAGTTTGGTATCAAACTGTAGATTATAATTC